ATCAATAGGATCTTTGAAGTCTTTTTTTAACAAAAAAGGGTAAACAGTCTGGTTAAAATGTACAGTGGTAAGAAACAGACTGTCTGAAAGTCAGAAAATAAAACTTTTTTCTATAGACAAGCAAAGCTTAACAGTTATATTAATAGTCAGGATATATCATAATGTTTAAAACAAACTTTCTCTACACTGTAAAAAAAAGTCAGTAAAATTTACGGTAAAAAACCGGTAGCTGTGGTTGCTGGAATTTTACCGTAAAAATACGGTAGCAGCGTTTTAGGTTTTTCGGTTTTAACTTAAATTTACAGTTAAATACTGTAATTTCATTAACTGATATAATGTTAATATAATAAGGTGACTTACAGTTAACCAATTAACATGTGTTTACTGTAGCATTTTTACAGGGGTTTTTTTGTAAAATTTAGAAACAGTGTACTATTTGAAACAAAACTGAATAAGCTAAACAAGATAAAAATACTGCTTTTTGTGTACATATTGTTTTGTTGAAAACAGTTGCTTACCATTATGGTGATTAGTGTTCCTGCTGGTCAATCTTGCACTTATCCAATCTTTTTTCATCAGTTAACTTTCTAGCATCCAGTTGTACACAAAGCATGCTAGGAACTAGGAAAAATCCCTGTCCAGTCTCAATAATGCTTAGCTTTTATTGTTCTCAGCCAAATCATCTGAAATCATGAAATAATGTCGCGACAAATGCTTTCATTTCAAGATTTACAATCGCTCAGATTGTTTGCAACATATTTGTAAAGCTTCAGGTGACCTATATGAAGTCCTTCTGCACTATTGTGATTTTGCCCATTTTGTTTATCCAGGTGTCTCTTTTCAGAACTGCAATGTATGTGAAAAGTTGTCTGTGTCCTTATTGAAATTCACAAGCAACATTGCTCGACCCTTACTAATCTTCACATACTGTATGTACAGTAGTCACTGAGACCTGGACAAAATGATTTCAGTCAAACTTATGACTGCAGACACACGCTGTAAACACTAATGTTGATGTGTACTTAAAACAATGTAGTTATATTTACTTTACTACGTGCAAGATAAATCAGAGTTCATCGTAAGGATGACATTAAACAAAGCCAATACTCGTGTATAGACAGTGAACATGGTTATACGCACAAAGACAAAACACCAATCAGGATAAAACGCAGTAAATGTGTCACACAAGGACTTCTGGAAGTGTCCTTTACTGGTTTTCACCATAAATTCATGGCTTTTACTGCCAAAAAACATCATTTTGATAGCATTTTAAAATTATATATAATGCAACGCTAAACTAGTTTTTTGCTGTATATGATAAGGTGACTTACAGTTAACCAATTAACATGTGTTTACTGTAGCATTTTTACAGGTTTTTTTCTGTAAAATTTAGAAACTTACAGTGTACTATTTGAAACAAAACTGAATAAGCAAAACAAGATAAAAATACTGCTTTTTGTGTACATATTGTTTTGTTGAAAACAGTTGCTTACCGTTATGGTGATTAGTGTTCCTGCTGGTCAATCTCGCACTTATCCAATCTTTTTTCAGCAGTTAACTTTCTAGCATCCAGTTGTACACAAAGCATGCTAGGAACTTTTAAAAATCCCTGTCCAGTCTCAGTAATGCTTAGCTTTTATTGTTCTCAGCCAAATCATCTGAAATCATGAAATGAAAACAACAGTATTTTAATTGCAAATTTGAGTTGACTGCAACTGGTTAGTCGTAATGGAATGCTTAGCTTAACTCATTGTGAAGGCCACATTAGGTGAACCTGAGAAATTAGTTCATAAATATACAAATAATTAAAATGTTGTCCATATTGAACATGTTAAGTTTGAGATTAATTCTCCTGAAAAGATGTTTGGTTCTGTTTTGGTGTCAAAATTATTTGACAATAAAGCAGACTTGAACTTGAACTTGAACTTGAAATTCCTGTCACTCAGGACATTCAAAGCCAGAAGCAATAGTAAGTCATATTTTAGATTTGACTTATATTGTTTTGTATGTGTATGTATTTATATGTGAGAAAGCATGAGGGAGAGAGAGAGAGAGAGACATAGAGCTCATGTGCTGCTAATTTTTCTGAATGCTCTCAGTGTACAGACAGCACAAAATCCCAACCGTGAATTATAGGACACTGTAATGCATTTCAACATTATGAGCATTGTGTTTTAGAAAGTGGTCATAGTTTGTATTCACCGGAGGAACAAAAACAAAATCAATTTTTCACCTTTTGTCACACTACTCATTCTGTCATTTCACAATGAGAGTCTGGGTGTGTACACGGTTGGTTAGCGCTGCATGGTTTGCTTAGATCAATGCTGATTCTTACCTTATTGAAAAGTACACATTTTAGCTGCAGTGCTGTAATAGGGGAGAACAATCAGGGCCTATTCAGGACTGAAGGACACCCTCCCTCAGTCAACATTTGGCTCTCAAATCCATAGCCCGGCACCGGCTCTCTGGCCCCCGGAATGCATCAGTTACTTTCAATGCTCAGATATTCATTTACAGAGTTGTTGTGAGGCCATTTTGTGCTGTTGACTGTGAAAATGTACTGAGAGAGGTTTTCTAGCAGCAAAAAACAAGATGCTAAATGGTGAATGTTCATGGTAGGACATCTGTCATACCCTCTGACACTGCAATTGGACAAATGAGGCATAAAAATGAAGTAAAACTGCATCGAAACGCGACACGAGTGGATACCTGTGTATTGCCCCATAGCACACGTGTTCAGGAGTGTGTGTGAGAGAGCTGCTGATGTAATTTGACCTCAGGAAGGTGAGCAATTGCAGGCAGAGCACTAGTAACCACACACTGAAACTCACCGCAATCCATCAACCAATTGCCCATGCAAATTTGATACGAGCCAGGCAAAGACAGGTCTGTTGGTTACACAAGCACACATGCTACTCTCAAGGTGCTCAGGCGAGATTCTTTAATAGTTAGTGTACTTAATTCTGCATAAGCACACATTCAGTATCCTAGTGATTTTAATTGGCCCCACCTAAAAACACTATCTATCTATCTATCTATCAAAGTTTGTCTTGACGTGTTTTTATGAACTTTTTCAATAAAAATATCATACATAACAAAACTTTTTGCAATAATCTTTTCATTTTAACTCATCTAAATATGATAATCCTATAATATTTATACTGGAACGGCATCCTGTTTTTGTTTTTGTTTTGTTTTTACCACTTTCTGTTTAAATTCATGAATGAGAGAAATACAAATCATCAGGGACACCGCTATGGTTTCCGGGCCCCCTGAACATCATATTGACCCGAGGCCCCCCCGTGATTGCGTAAAAATCGTGCTTGGAATCATCCTAACCTTCCCCCCGTTTCGACGCCCCTTGCAAATCATACACATATACCCACACAAGTAATACCTTCTTCTTCAAATATGGGTTCACATTATGCGGAGAATTCCATAGAATGTTCTGGAATGTTAAAAGTGATTGATGGGCACAGAATACTAAATGTTCTGAACTGTGAGGTGTTGAGTCCTGACAACCAACATTTTGTGGCAAATTATTATAATTAGAGTCTATAACAGACTGTTCTGTCACCAAGGTCCTTCCCTTGCCCACTTTGTATGCCCATATCATTCAACATTCACAGAAAAAAATAATAAGCCTTTTGTTTTTAAGAAACAGCAGGGCTTTTTTTTTTAGAACTCTGTGTGACCTTAACTGGATTTTATATAAAAGTAAGCATTACAAACATAATGTACATTATATAATGTGCGCATTACACAATGCATGGCAGGTTTATGGCATACTGCACTGAGCTCAGTGAATCTTTGCATCATGTAACGTTTGTGATGCAGCAACCCCATTTAAACCCAGGAACAGGTGTTTCCACCTTGTCTGACCTCTCTCACAACTAGAGTTCCCTCCGAATTGGCCCTAAACAGTGACACCTGCAGTGGCCACATCTGTTTTTGACTGACCCGGTCTGTCCTCAGGCTCTTTGATAAAACAGGAGGAATGCAGGCGATCCAGTTTCCGACTCATCACTTTTTCACATCCTTCTTCAACATTGCTGCTTCTAGAAATTCACGGAGCAATGAAACGGCTGCTCTGAACCTGTACATAAAGAGAAATATAACTGGTTGGTTTGGTACTTCGTGTGAGGCATCTGATGGAAACTGATTGATGCTCTGATTTGTTTCGGCCTGAGATACTCTTCAGACAAAACAATAACAGCTTTCAGGTGAAGTGAGATTTACAGATTTTCAGTTGTAAATTAGTCTGCTTTAATATAATCACTATACATGGGCATGCTACAATATGCACGAATGTCTTATTTAATGTCTGTGTGGGAGCTATGGAATTATGTTATTATGACTGAGAGACCCAGACAATGAAGTAATAAAAGATATTTATTTATGCAAGCTGAAAATATGTTGTTTATAGTCAATTCAATTGAAATTATGTTTAATTATGAATAATGTAAAATAAATAATGCAGTATTTAAACCTAAATTAAGTTTACTTGCAACTAGTCAACTGCAATGAAATAGTTAAACATGATGTCTGAGGCAAATAATTTTTTCTTTTAAAAAAAATACATGAACAAGTTTAGGTTGTTTGCTGGTTTCCCAGCCTGTAAGCTGGTCTATAGCTGGGCGATAAAGTGATATACAAAACCAGCCAATAAACCAGACTTGAGAGTCCTGCTAAGACCATTTAATAGCATGATATTTTGGTTCATAAACAAAACAGGGTTCTCATCACACACAAAAAACGTTCGTTTTAATAGTGAGCAAAGAAATAAATTGTTTACAATACGAAAGCCTCAGTATAATTTTACTCATGGGTAGGCTTATACAGAAAAGCAACGTCTCTATGTGATACACCTCCCAGGTGAGCCACGCCTACCTGCTTTGTGATTGGAGAAGGCGCTATATCCTTCTCTCTGAATGGCTAACGCAGCTGTCACTCAAGTACTACGTTTTCATAATGTGATACTTTACAACAGGTAAGGCTACCTGAGTGACACAGGGTGGGATTTTGGATACACCGCGCGTCTGGATGTAACGACAAGGACGTTTACAATAATCCCGTATAGGTGTATTCGTAAATAAAAATAAGCTTCAAATATAATATCCGATATTTGCATATAGAAATGGCAAGTGTAAGACTGGCGGTTGGCGCTCCGAATACAGAAGAGAGGGCGGTTTTCACGCAGCTTAAACCCGTGCGGATGTGTAGCGCGGATGGGCCGGAGGACTCGTCTGTGTTTGAGGACGTCAAACCCGCGGTGAGACTAGTAACAAACGCTGTCGAAATGGTTCAGGTATGACAGGCGCTCTGTGGTGTCTGACTTAAACTGGAAAACAAAAATATTTCAATGTCAAAACCTATATTATATCAAAAGTATAGGCGCACTTTTAAGAGAAAGCACTTGCTCAGTTACAAAAAATGATCTTTACGAACGGCTTTCTGTAATGCAAGTGTCTGTTTTTTTTTTTAAGTATTAAGTATTGTTTATCAAATATTGCAGGTATGACAGGCGCTCTGTGGTGTCTGACTTAAACTGGAAAACAAAAATATTTCAATGTCAAAACCTATATTAGCCTATATCAAAAATATAGGCGCACTTTTAAGAGAAAGCACTTGCTCAGTTACAAAAAATGATCTTTACGAACGGCTTTCTGTAATGCAAGTGTCTGTTTTTTTTTTTAAGTATTAAGTATTGTTTATCAAATATTGAAAATATTACAGGCATCGCTATCAAACTGCTTTCGTTGAAGTGTGCATGTTACATCTTCACATAAGGGTCAACTGAACTGCTGTATGTTTGTCTCGCATTGCGTTTACATTTATTAATTTAGCATGATAAGTATGAATAGTTGCTTATGCAGTGTATTATTAGTAGGAGTATTATTATTACTATTAACACCACAAACAATAAATCTCATAGTATTTTTATGTTTTTTACATTTCAGTAATTGAAAGAAATCAGAATTAGATTACTTGTGAAGTTACTAAAGTAAATGTCTTTAACACAGTTCTTTATTTTATGCAGTAACACATATTTATCTTTAAATTTGCATGTCAGTTTTGCAATAAACACTGACGTCATATTGTTCTGTACATAGTCTAGTTTATACCTGCCTCTAACTTGACTTTATTATGAATATATTATCTCAGATGGATGAGAGATCATTGAAACAACTTTTACTACGACATTAACACAAGTTCAGGTCCTTAAAACAACCTACATAATAAGAGTAAAATGTGCGTACTGTAAAGTGTACTTGAAAGCGAAGGAATCAAAGAATAGAACCATTTACTTTTATTACCTTATTTTTTGTGAGGTACAATAATACACAAATGCTTAGCAACTTCAATGCACAATTTGAAGTTATGTAGAAAACCATAGTGTCATTTAACACTGTGACAGTGTTAGTCAAAAGTTTAAGATTTAGTTTGCCCTAAGAGAAAACTCAGACTAATCCACAGGTTTAGAATTTATTTATAGAATCAGATTTCTCTATAGTTTGCTCTTTGCCTTTGGTCAGACTGCCTCTAAAGTATCACAATGGCCATAAGTATCTGCTATACATTTCCATGATGTTTTATTTTCTGTTTTAATGATCATATCTGAGTCCACAATGACAACTGAAAATGGTTGGGTCTGAAATGCGAATCGAATGTGCTGTGTTGGATCATATGGCATCCTAACTAGAACACCACTAGTTTATGACTGGCTGAGCCAATGACTGATGACCTTGTTGCACTCCTTCAAAAGTTCGTAAGGCCACAGAGAACATGTAGGTTGTTGGCTACACTGAAGAAAACAGCCTGGGCCTTCGCATGGTCTCTGTTCCCTCGTTTTCGGTTGGTGACGAGAAGCACATGTCTGACCTCATGACCCCCAGTACTTGTTGGGAAAAGTACCTGCTATTAAAGGAGTCATAATCATAGTCTAAATGAAACTAGATTGCTAAAATAATCCGAAACCAACAAAAGTCATGATTATAAATAAAGATTATCTTAATTACATGATTGATTTGGCACATCTAATCATAAGATATGGCTGAGTCACATCGTCTTGCAGTGTCACGCATCTCTATTGCAGTAATTTACTTTAATTTTCTGTTACAAAACCAGCAGTCAGTAGTCATATCCACTGCTGTGAAGAGTACTCAAGATGGTTCCTTCAGTAGTCTTGGTCCTGAAAAGCCAAAACGACTGTTATCTATTTCCCCCAAAGCCATAAAACATCATTTTCGTCTCAAAGGTTTTGTTTTCTCTTGCTGCTGCCCTCGGATGATTTGTGCTGTTATGGCTCCAGTAAACAGACAAGAAGCCTATCAGTCTGGTTTTATGGGGATCTGTGGACGAATCTCCATCTTTTTGAATTCCTTTTAGGCCGTAAAAGACGATTATTTCAAAGGGAAAGACCTTTTGTGTTGTAATTAGGAAAAAGGTCTTTGGGCTAACAGGGTATTTGGACTCTGAAATAAGCTGCGAAATCTCACGTCGAAGAAACAGTTCGGAAGACAAATATCATGCCGTTTCCAAGGCTTCTGAGCTTCATGTGCTCCTTTACAAATAATACGACTTTTTTTAATGGATAAGATATTTGATGTTTGAACGCATTCTTAAAGGGATTTTTCAGCAAAAACTATACTGATATTCTATCATCATTTACTCACCCTCATGTCATTCTGTGAAAGATAAAAGAAGATATATTTTTTATTAAATTATGTCTTAGTGTGGGTTTTTTTGGGGGGTGTTCATGCAGTGAAATATTGTTTTTAGATCCGATTGACTTTGATTATATGGACAAAACATTCTTTACATTTTTACACTTTAGATTTTATCGGATTTGTTTTTTTTGTTTGTTTTTTTTGGGGCTGAAGAAATAAAGTCATACAGGTTTGGAACAATATGTGGGTGAGAGAATTGATGGCAGAATTTTCATTTTTGGGTGAACTAACCCTTTAAAGAATTTTTTATTTTTTTATTTTTTTTGGGCTGAAGAAATAAAGTCATACAGGTTTGGAACAATATGTGGGTGAGAGAATTGATGGCAGAATTTTCATTTTTGGGTGAACTAACCCTTTAAAGAGTGAATGAGATTTTCTAGAATTTCAGAAAGTGAGCCATATTTTCAACGAACGTCGACACTGAGCAACACGGAAACCTCCGGCTTATTTATCTCAAAGATTATTTTTATGCCTAACTCGGCTCCCAGCCGTTATCGGTCCCTAAAATACATAACTTAGCGGTTGTAAATGTTCTCCAATCATTAACTCAGTTCTTGGGCCAGGGTTCAGCTGCTGTTCATTCTCCAGTGAACAGAACCGGGTCTCTATAAGGCCAACGGAAGCTGTAGCCAAGGGCACTTGCCTCTCTGCCAGTACCACACAACACAAGGCCTGTTTGTGCCCAGGACTAAGGGCAGGGGCGGTACTCTTGCCAGGTCTGGAGATAAATCGAAAGCTATTTTCCATTAATTACCTGGTTTTAACTTTCCAAAGCTGGCCTGATGGGGATGAAGGTGGAATTGTTGACGTTAACGTTGTGAGAGTACAATTGTCTGTAATAAATGGCTCATCCGCAGCGATATGAAAAGCTGCAGAAGCGTCAGCATTCATTGTACATTCCCCGAGAGTACATGACCTCACATGTTAGGGTATGAGTTACCTGAAAGGATGAAGATATTTGTACATGAAACCACATCAGTGGGTTGTCAAGGAAATGCATTTTGACAATACATGCCTTATTGTTGACATAGCTGCCACTTCAGACAGCTGGACATTACAGTGCTTTTAAAATAATGCAATAAGGTCAACAATAAAGGCAGCTGTGTGTTTTAAGTGGGGTCCAAATGTCTGCGACGACATTAAAAGTTCTTAAAAAATATATATAACTGATATTCTTAGTTCTTGTATAGCCTAGTTCTCTATATATGTAACATTTAAAATCTTTTAGGAATTAAAAAATAAAGATTAGAATTATGTACGTGTATTCAAGGTGTGAATTCCAAATGTTATTCATTTTACTTAATAGGTACACAAGTCATTTAATTGAATATTTTCTTGAAAAGGATGTATATATAATTATATTAAAAAAGAATCATGAAACCAACATGAATACAAAGAGTATGTTTCTAAGAAAGTAGCACATGCAGCTTGAGCACTGCAGTCCTTAAAGCAATATGACGACATGCCAAAGTCATTCTAAAATCCATTCATGTATTTTTTTGTATAAAATAATGTAAACATAATTTGATATCTAATATGTGTCTTAGAAATATGCTAAATATAAGCATTTTCACTAGAGGTCTCGTGCTTTGTTGGTTAGTTTTGGGGGTTATTTTGGTTAGCACATGCTGCAGTCATTACAGATTGTTTAAACACTGAACGTTTTGTTCAAGACAGGTATTTAGGCTGTTCAGGTTTTTGCATATGCTAACCATTTCATCATCACACATTTGACTTGCCAATTGACTGGTTTGGTAAATCTGGTTCTTCATTATCGCACAAATGCCCTCATTTATCAGTCTCAGGAGTTTACAGCACCGTTGCACCTGAATGGCTCTCCAGGGTGCACTCGTTTTTAGAGTTCTATTTTTGTACATTGTTTGTGCCCATATCTCCTCTTGCTATCACATGTCACTGTTTTGGTTTTGCTTTGTGTTCCAATCCTTCATGGCCGCCACACCTATGAGGTTTCTGTTTACTCTGTGCTGCATTGAAGCACTGTGCAGAGCTGCTCCGTTGAACTTGCCTTTGTGTGCAGGGAATGATCTCCCACTGCTTGTACCTGGCGCTGCAATCACAAATCAACTGTGAAAGACATTAACATAGTATATGCTTGCCTGATCTCCTTTTTCAAATAAAATCTTTTAAACCGCTGTGGTGAAGCGAAAAGGGTAAAATGGCAGAGCAGACATTTCAGTTTGACGGCAGCTAATCCAATTAGCAAAGCATGCACAAAACCTGTCAACATGGACTGCATACAATCACAAATAAAAACATTCAGTGAACTTAATTAAATCGAGAAGAATCGTTTCCATGCAATTCAATTAATGCATAATTTGGATTTCAGTTTCGGTTGTGGTCTTGTTTTGCAACTTAAAATTCTTTAGTTATGCCTACTAGATGCAAAGAAAATTCAAATAAATTCTGCTGCAACAAACCATTTTTAGGCATTTTGCCAAAATAGAGAGGGCCATTGGCTATATTCTAGCATACAAGAAGTCATAAATAAATAACTTTTATTTATTAAATCGCTAAATTAATTAAACCAAATGTTTATTTTATTTAAATAATATAAAAAGTAATGCTCAACTCAATTTCCCGTCAATTGTACATCTGGTTATGACTGATGAAAATTATTAAAACAAATTAATTTTTAATTAATAACTTAATTTTACAAATTGAATTTGATTGCACACAATGACATTAAATTTGGATAAAATAATCAATTGAATTAGCAGGAGCAGTGTACACTAAAGGTACTGCACTGTATTATAATCATCTTCTGTTTGTTTCAGACACGGATGGAGATGGATAAATATTTGCCCCAAATCACCCCACTGGTTTCCCCAAACATTACGGATAAGAAGTTCCGTCGGGAAAGCGCCTCGGTGGTGGATGAGTATTTTGCAGATGAGAAGCCAGCCCCTTACAGTCTCAACATCAACGTTATCCTGCCCAATACCACACACCTTCGCACGGGCCTTTATCGTCCAAACAAACCTCAGGTGCATCAGATCAAAACTGAGCCAGGGGTGGACTTACCCTGTAGCATTCAGACACTCCCCGAATTCACCTCCGTCTTCAGCGTGCCCCAGACGGTCAACAGCCTCTTTATCAAACCTGACATAAACGTCACAGACGAGCTCCACATCGGCCCTCAGCAGCCGGCGGTCTACCAGATGCCCATCAGCAGTAGCGACCTTACCACAATGACCTTCTCCCAGAGTCAATCGATGAACGGAATCGGTGCATCTGGCAGGACCATGCTCAACCTGAACACAGTGGCCTTGACGACGCAATCTGGCGAATTTGTCATGCCCGAGCCGTACTACACTTCACCCCAGCCGCACAGTTTGCCTCCGTCGCCCCCCAACTCCCAGCCCAGCAGTCCCGAGAACCAGGCAGAGCTCATTACCTCTGTTCCCCCTCCCCCGCCGTACCAGGCTAGAATTGGAATGAAGGTTGGACAGATGACCCCTCACTCCATGCTAATGGCCCACGGTCAGGGCGTCCTCACGGGACCCAGATACAACCGACGGAACAACCCTGAGCTGGAGAAGAGAAGGATTCATCATTGTATCTTCCCAGGTTAGTGTGCCATTCCAGTAAATAATTTTGGATTACATGTGCCATGCCATCCTGAAGATGGGCAGAGATTATCAGGGACGTTTGTCAACTAACATCTGGGCAATTTTTCTCTGTACCAGGATGCACCAAAGTTTACACAAAGAGCTCTCACTTGAAAGCACACCAAAGGACTCACACTGGTAAGAAATCAAATCAAACTCTAACATAGACACCCTAAAATAAAAATGATATTATTATTTATTCACCCTAATGTCATTCCAACGCTATATGATTTCCTTTCTTCTGCTGAACATGGAGAAAGGGGGAAATGAAGGGCTTTTCCATGCAGTTACAACGAGACTGAGACTTTTCAAGCTTCAAAAACAGTGCAAAAATACTTTCAAAGTATCCCTCAAGTCTTCTGATGTTATACAATAGCTTTGGGTGAGGAACAAACAAAATGTACTGTATCGTAATCTTGACATTCGTGTGTCTGATTTGTGAAGAAACAGTTCCTTCGAATGATTGATACGGTTTGCAAAACCACCTTAGTAAAAAAGTAATACATTTAAAATACATTTATTTCATAATAAGTATAGTTCAAATCTATTAACATATTTACTGACATATCGCTTGAGACTTACTGATATCAAAATTTTTAATCAAATTCATTTGGAGTACTACTTGTGCACAATGCACATTTAATTAATATTAAGCCTAAAATGTGTTTTAATATCACCATTGATGAGGATTTTATGATATTTGAACAATATCTTTGAATAATGTCTTTAAATTAAGTATACTTGCAATAGTTCCACTTTAGCACAATCAAATATACTTCAGTATATCTTTAGTTGGACTTCAGCAGTTTTTCATCTCGGACCATAAAAAACGCTTTTGTAACTTGATTTGCCAGTTTTTAAAAATGCGTTAATTTTCAATTTTTATATAGGTTATTTTTAAAGTAATGAATTCCACTAAAACATTAAAATTCCCACTCCACATAAAATCAAATCAAACTAAATTAGCCTATTTGGAAAAAGAGAAGTTTAATGAAAATAGCCTGTAGGCTGTTAACGGCAATGCAGCAACTGGCATTTTAATATAGACTATAGAGTAATAGCTATAGAATATACAGTCAGAATTTAGAGTCAGAACTATTGGTAACACTTTATTTTAAGGACCAATTCTCACTATTTACTAGTTGCTCATAAGCATGCATATTACTAGCATATTGGCTGTTTATTAATACTTATAAAGCACATATTAATGAATTATTCTGCATGACCGTATTTTAGATCCCTTAATCCAACCCCATCCCTAAATTTAACAACTACTAACTATTAATAAGCAGCAAATTAGGAGTTTGTTCAGGGAAAACTCTTAGTTAATAGTGAATAGGTGTTCCCTATTCTAAAGTGATACCAAACTATTTTCGGTAGTTTTTGTTGCATTATTTTCCAAACGTGTTGTTATCACGGTAATCTATTAGCGCTCTTACCGGACATTTAATTTCAGAACTGTTGCGATATGTACAACAACCAATTTAATAACATGTTGCCAGATTAATGTTCATATGTTTCAGATAAAACTGAACATGATGCAAAAAGCAACATGGTTTTTTTTTTTCTGATGAGCCTGTGTTGTTTCGCTCTCTGTCCATCTGTAAGGTGTGTTTATGTTGTCACAGGTCAGGTGGACATGGTGTGGAGTTGTGTTTCAAAAGATGTTGGGGGTTGGGAATGATCCCGCCGCACTGAAAGCTGTCAAACAACAGTTTAAGAGCTCTAGAACATTCCGTGCTGACAGATGAAAGTCAGAACAGGTCGATAACACGTGTAATTTTGATGTCTTCAGGAATTATATGTTCTATTCATGATTTAAAAAAGTATGTCAGGATGTACTAGATGTGCTCTAACAAAGCAATTAAATACAAGCCTGCAAAACTTGTTAGCTTTGTAACTTAAGGAGTAATCTAAGCAGCTAGCTTGGATTATGCTAGTGGCTCTTCAAAAAAAACAACAACACTTTGCCAGTTTGGTGGAGCATATCTAAACATGCTTTATAGTAGTGTTCATTTTGTCAGCTATTTTCATTTTAGTCTTAGTCCCGTGCTAAAATGTCCTTATCATATTTAGTCAACCTTATCCTATTTAGTTTTAGTCAAGTTTTAGTCGACCAAAAGTCTCAACATTTTAGTCTAGTTTTAGTCCAAGAAAACCTTAAGTATTTTAGTCTAGTTTTAGTTAATGAAAACTTGACATTTTAGCAATAAGATTATTATTAATTAACCGTACAGCAGTATTAATTTTGGCAGCCATTTTTAATTTAGTCTTAGTCTTACTCAAATGTACATTTTAGTTATCATATTTAGACAA